ACTTGATGAGAAACGGAAGTGAAAACCTAAAAGAGGAGAAGGAAAGTTTTGACTTTTGACATTCTTTTTAAAAGTAAATAAAGGAGAATGATTAATTATCATTATTCTATTGATTATCTCCATAATTTTAGTGCTAAACTAAACTGGCTTCAAAAGGAAATAAAAAACCAAAGTATGGCGTGCCTTGACACCACATTTTTATGGGGCAAAGTTTCATTTTTTGTCTACCATTTGGAGGAAGCCTAAATGATTAATTTGGGACCCCTGGTTATGATTGCATTACAAACGCATAGACTTTGTGAAAAGAGGCAATTCATATTTTGAAGTTGGTAGCACAACTTTTATCCCGTAATTCAAGAGAAAAAGTTGCAAAGAAATCCTCGTCTGGTGAAACTACTCTGTGAGTTTATAACGATTGTAAAGGATGTATTCAACTAAGCTACCTTTTGAAAACTCTTATTTAAGGGCATTTTGCATCATAGCAATGGTAAATTTCTGTCAAATTCAAACATTGACCGTTGGAATGAGACTTGTGAATTGCAGACATTCGATTTTCCCTTTATGAATACTATGCTCATGTAATGATCATCAGATTCTTTAGATTGTACCACATGGGACAAAACAAGAGTTTTCACTTGATCTTGTTCATCTTCCTCCAGTTTTGTTCTTCCATCCACTGCTATAAAAGCACTTTTGACGATGATTTGGCTGCCATTCTTCACGATCACGCTTTCAAAGCTCTAGTCAATGAACGGCCACATACCGGAGCACTACACAATGCCAGTCTCCCTGCAAATTTTGCAGGCATTCAGGTTTCGGCTGTTGGGCTTAGGAGCAAAACCCTTTGGAGAAAAGGAGCGAATTTCACAGGCTTTCATATTCCTCCAAAATCTCTACCAGTGCCATATGTTAGAAGAATTCTCATTGTGTACCATAATCTTGGCAACTGGTCTTCTCTATATTATAACTTATCAGGTTATTCTCTGATAAGCCCTGTTGTTGGTTTCATGGTTTATGATGCGTCCCATTTGAGCAGCAGAAACCAAAATATCTCGAAACTTGAGCTCAACACAATGGGGGAATCTATATCAATTGAATTTCACACTTCCATGGGCAAAGGTACTCAAGAAAGAGTAAAATGTGCTGCATTTGATGCTCATGGGAAGGTATTTTTCAGTGAAATGAACTTGCCTAATGTGTGTTACAGTAAAACTCAAGGCCATTTTTCGATAGTTATCCCCAACGGGAATAAGCAGAAGACGTGGGTTTTGTGGGTTATCGGGTTTTTGTTCGGGTTGCTGGGGTTGTTCTTAGTGGGATTGGCTGCGACAGTGGTTGCAAAATCTGTAGCAGGTAAAAGAACTAAAGAAATGGAAAAGGAAGCTGATGATGGAGAGTTTCTTGATACATATTGGATTGACAGCAGCAAAATGCCTCGTGCGGCAGTAACAAGAACTAGTCCAGTACTTGAGAGTACGAATCTTCCAAGATGGTCTTGGTATGGTTAAATACTTTGTCTGAATTTCTTCACTGATTTAATTTGTCGTTTTTCTTAAGCATTATGCATATACACTTGCAAGATACAACGGATCATTATGCATTCATTCAATTAGGCTACATCGCTTCGTAGTTACAGCAAATAAATTCATGACTGATGATCAACTGTTGCTTATATCAAGTGGTTGAGATTGTGGCCAACAGTGGCATTCTTTGGTGTTCGATCCACCAATGTTCTAATTGTCCTGTATCAACGGGCATAAAGAAGAGAACTCTTCTTCTTCTTTTCGGGTTTCTTCAAACATATGCCTAGCAAGAATCAAGTTCACAGTGTGAACGGGTGACTGTTTAATACTCAGGCTAAAAATATTGGAAAACAGTGGCAAAAGTATCTCTATTCTTGACAGACACATTTATCTCGTAGCATAGGTAGCTTCTGAATAGAAGTGCAGGCTTGACAGTATAAAATTGATTGACACAAACCACATGACACTAACAGTCTAGTGCAATTTTTGCCAAAAAAGACACATGAAAACACAGAAGAAGTACCAGTATGAATGAGAGTTTACATACGGTAACAAAATAAGGGACCGGAGAGGACGTTGACAGATCTCAAACAATACGATATGGAAATGATTACGCATGCCAATTTTATCATATCCATGATAAATGCATAAATAGTGTCTTTTCCCATCCTACCATGAGAAACAAAAAAATTAGAAGGATGAATGCAGCTGAACCCCATATATCACCACGATATGAACTTGTTCACAGAATAAACATACTTGAATATGTGCATCTGGGCATAACTACAAATAATTTCCAGCCAAATGAATGATATTACAAGAAGGAATATAGAAAATTTCCAAAAACTAGTAACATCTCCAAAAAGTATAAATCAGAAGAGGATAACTTAATTAAACTATGAGGTGAGGGTTTCATGGGCAGAGCTAAGGTGCATGACTTAATATACATTATAGCATCAAAATAAAACGTGCAACAACCTGAAAGAACCATTTATATTTTGTTAAGAAAATCCCTCGTGCATGATGTTAGAAGTATAGCATGTATATAGATATAAAATATGGAAGTCTCAGTTATTCTTCTGTGCTCCCTCTTCCTATCAAGTCCAATATGGCACAATGGGTATTATGGAAGGGAGGAAGGGATAACTAACTAAAACCTATTTTGGGTTCCCAACAAGCTACCCAATAATAGTGCTGGTCATAGACATCAAATATAAATACCAAGATGCACCTAGGGCCAAACTGAATGGTCCACAATATACAATAGCCAGCTTTACTCGTCTACACCTAAATCTGTAAACTGAAAATTATGCAGCTTGGAAGTAAATATCCGTCACTTCATTAAATAACCATCAAAATCATTGTTCAATCTGTTGAAAAGACAAATGTCCTACTTCTGTATTCTCATACATGTATAGATAATAATTCAGCAGAAAAGAAACTGACATAAACATGATCATCAGTATATTTTCCCAGAATGCTAGTATAAAGAAGCACAGCATGAAAAGATAATTTTCACACAAGATACAAAAAGGCCATGAAGATAGTTAAACATCTCAATTACTACAGATGTAATTGTTTGATACAACAAAAAACATTTGAAAAGGCAGGCTCCCCTTATTAACCTCAGAGTTAACAATGCTGCAGCTACAAAAAGTTTATGCTATGATCGAGCAAGAAATCCTTTTCAATTGATACAAACTAAAATTCAATCAAACCCCACAGGAACACCCCATCCTAGAGCAATTTCAGTACCCAAATTATACCAAACAAACCTCAAACTGCCCGTCAGTGTTACACTCTAGCCTTTCGAGCAAGCTTCGACCACTCAGTGTGGAATGCTCCTGGACGATCAATCCTTTCATAGGTATGTGCCCCGAAATAGTCCCTCTGAGCCTGCACAAGGTTCGCAGGAAGCCTCCCACGTCTATAGGTATCAAAATACTGCAAGCTAGCTGACATCCCTGGGACACTAACACCCTTCTGAATTGCCAAACCCACGACTCTCCGCCATGCTGCCTGCCTCTGCACCATCTCTCTAGCAAACTCTGGATCCACCAACAAATTCGCAAGCCCTGGATTCCTATGGTACGCTTGCTTGATCCTATCCAAAAACACGGCCCTTATAATGCACCCGCCCTTCCAAATCCTTGCAAGCTCCCCCAAATTCAAATTCCACCCCTTCTCAAAACTCTTCGTCCTCAACAAATTCATTCCTTGTGCATAACTACAAATCTTGGAAGCGTAAAGTGCTTGCCTAACATCATCAATCAACCTCTTCTTATCCACCCTGCCGGCATTGTTAATGTCCTCATTCAACCCTTCCTTCTTAAAAATTTCCGATGCCTCCTCCCTCTCTTCCTTCAACCCACTCATGTA